CTATTTCAGCTTCACCCTAGCGTGTAGGTGAGCTCTCAGGGTTCAAGTGCCAGAAGTGTTGCGAGCATTGGCCCTAGCAAGAGCAGTGCTACGCAAAATCTACTACCGGATCGGAAACGCGACCCTCCGAGAAGATCCGGCGAGAAACTTAGTGGGCTGTGTATATGGGTTCATTTTCTCGTTGAGTCCCTTCGTCGCAAGCGACGGGTTCGGCGAGGACGGTGCCCGGTGCTTGAGGTACCTACCTAGAAGCAAGGTTAATGGATCGTAATGACGTGGGCTGATCGCAGTCGCTGGTCTAACACGGAGAGAACGTTGCCTCCCGTACTCTGATAATGCTCCATTTGACTTTTACGACACAAGAAAGATACGGGTTGGTGCCATATTAGGCCGACGCAACACAACCATATGTATGTATGTATGGGAATTAAAACAAAAAAATAATACCAGAACTGATACTATCTAGATTATTACCTTTTGTGCTAATCAAAGCACTCCTATACAACCAGTTTTTTTTTTATTGCTTACATGGGTGGACGAGCTCACAGCCCACCTGGTGTTAAGTGGTTACTGGAGCCCATAGACATCCACAACGTAAATGCGCCACCCACCTTGAGATATAAGTTCTAAGGTCTCAAGTATAGTTACGACGGCTGCCCCACCCTTCAAACCGAAACGCATTACTGCTTCACGGCAGAAATAGGCAGGGCGGTGGTACCCACCCGCGCGGACTCACATGAGGTCCTACCACCAGTAATTACGCAAATTATAATTATGCGGCATTCATTTTTATTACACGATGGAATTATATTCGATATTCCTTCACCGTGGAAGTCAATCGTGAACATTTGTTCAGTACCTACGTATTTCATTAGAAAAATTGGTACCCGCCTGAGATTCGAACACCGGCGCATCGCTCAACACGAATGCACCGGACGTCTTATCCGTTAGGCCACGACGACTTCAACCCTGAATAAGATTAAAACTTCAGTAGATGAATTTCTATAGACAAAAGACATTAAATGCTTTTTCTTTATTTATTATTACATAAAACATGAGTTTACAACAGATGGCATCTTAATTTTTAAAAAAACATAGATATAAATAGTAAAGCTGCTCATATTATATCAAATAAGTATCTCATCTTTGTACAAACCAAACAGATCCTTACAGAGATAAAAACCATGAGACTCTCCGTAAACGTTTACATTATCTATTAAAACTACAACAAACAATTCATTGTTGATGCACAATTTCGGTCTCTATTACAACGATGTTAAAATACATAATTGCTTGAAGTTTCGAAATCATCACTGCGTACTCATGGTTTGCATCGCTGCAGAAATAACGAAAAAAATTTTGCGATCCTGAATGTTCAAAGTAACACATCACGTTTTGATCCCAAAATGGTTAATCGATGCTCAGAAAAGAAAAAAGAAAAATCGTATTGTACTTATTACGTATTTGTGTGCTCGTGCAAAAGCATATCTGAGTCGCGTTGCCAACTAAACCGTAAATATTAAAATATAAAATATGTATGTACTTAAAGAAAACTAATCTGTACTATTTTTTTCTTAAGTACAACGATTTAGAAAAAGGGTTTAACTAACATAACGCCACCACATAAATTCATTGTATTTTTTTAACATGATTAATGTATATTGTATTTAGTAAATGTATTCTCGTTATCTACAAGGCAATGTGTTTCTATTTGTATGAATGTAAACATGTAATGACATATAGATCCGATATTAATACTGAACTCTCATTACATTTAGTAAAACTATTTTTATAGCGACTACATTATTAGGTGCTCTGTACTAAACATGTTTTTTTTCCTTTATTTTTAAAGTCTTTTAAAATTAATGATACATCCGAGGGCAAATCGAAAAATACTTAGCACTAGTTTTGGGACCAACACAGCAGCAGTATTATGACAAAACAAACACAAGAGCACAGAAATAAAGTACTAAAATTAATTATGTATGTACTGAAAAGTTTATTAAAAATGTTTTCAAATAATGACAGTAAAACTAACAGTAATATACAAATAAATTAGAAACAAAAAAAAAAACAACTTTGTTCTAGATCATCACAATAATAAAGGCTAGCTAAAAATATCTGTGAAGGCAAAAAAAAAAAACGCACACAATTTAAAAAAAAAAGCTGCAAAATTATTCTGTTCACTAAAGAACGCGTTACAAGGCAATATAAAAAAAAGGTAAATAAATTAAACAACCAATCACCTTACTGACTAAAAATGTATATACAAAAGTAAATTTAAAAATTAATAGAGAGATTATACTGCACGAACAAAAAGCATTGAAAAAAAGCTTTCCGCGATCTACCACACAGCAGGCGCTACAAAATGACCAGACGAATTAATTAAAAAAAAAAAAAAACTCGTGTAAACTAATTCATCTGTATTAATACAACCGAAGTATAATTACGAAACTTAATCAGAGTACAAAAAAAAACATTAAATTAGCAACCTCCAAACAACGTTTCCCATCTCTAACCTCTATTAAAAGTTTTCAACATTCAACATCAGTTCGCACCAGTGGTCGTTAACTAATTTCATTATACTAACATTATTTTACTACAACAATCGTAATTATGTAAAAATATAATTATTTATTTTATTCAGCTTAAATGTTACAGTACATTCGATCTGTGTAATTGCGCTGCAACTATACAGCTTTAAAACTAAAACGACATATATTAGATTTCTTACATATAAAAATAATAATAAAACGAATCGAGATTATGTCTGCTCAAAACAAGCATTAAAATTCAATAACAATAATTGAATACGAGAATTTAAGTTTCCATTCCCAAAAACTACAAAAATACACGTCTTCAATATAAATACAGTTAATCTGCGTAACATTAACAGTTCCTCCTAATGATCACGTACCGTACGTAATTTGTCATAAGAAGTTTGTTGTGCACATTTTTACTAACATGCACCGGCAGAGTAGCAAAGGAGTTTAAACGCAAACAATGCTCATTCCATAGACAATATTAAATAGATTTGTAAAAGGCAATCAAAGATAAGCCTACGAGAACAGGCCACATGTTACGCACACACGAAAAAAAAACCCATTTCAAATAGAGAACCTCTTAATTATTATTTACTTGAAGTCGGTTCATTAAACAGAATATTATGGTACTTTGTCTAAACAATCTTAAACCTTACGGTATCAATATTACGCAATGTTAACGCGATTGACATTCAAACACTTTCGCTTACATAGAGGAGAGATTCTTTCACAGTACGTTTGTCAGAAGCTCAGAATTCGCGCACTCTCTCACATTATTTATTTCATTTAAATTTATATTTTTAAGGCATATTACATGACACGTGGAATCTTTATACACACTTCTAACGCGATAGACGGAATGTATTCACTTTAAGATGTATAAAATACTTTAATTATTTACATTATTCTTCAAAACTACCTGAAAAATACCTTTATTCCCTATACAAATATAAATTTAAAATTTTATATGAATAGAGTGATTTAAGTACTGAAAATATTATAGAATAATATTATAATAAGGCTTTTATCGTCTTAAAGTGCTTTGAAAAAAAGTCCGAAACCCTAATGAATTAAACAAAAAAATTATTCTAAATTCTACGCGGATTATTAGAGAAGGCAATATAATGTATGTATAAGACACCAGAGAAATTTCGTGATAAATTTACGTAATTATAATTACTATTTTTACATATCTGACCTACGCAATGTTTTACATTTTTGTTACTACTATTTACATGCTTATATTTAACAAATACTTTTCGTTCTAAATACAGTACATGACCTCATCATCGAAGACAGTGATTCTCAACCTTTTTTTGTTGCGGCACATATTTAACGATTTCAAAATTTGGCGGCACACAAATCAAAAAGATAAAAATTATTTACTTACTACAACACACTGCATAAATAGTTTATCAAAAAAATTTAATATACGAAATAAACTAAAATATACTATAATTTTTTTTTGTGGATTTCAATATATATTCATGTTTAAAATATTTTTCTTTTAAAATGATATAATTTAATAATATTAACATTATTATATATGTATTCGCAAAATTTGGCGGCACACAAGTGCCGCGGAACAGTGGTTGAGAATCACTGATCCAAGATGTAATCGTTAGTTAAGTTATGAGTTTACTATAATTTATTGCTTGGCGTAAATTCATTTTTTGTCACAATAAATATCCAATAGAAAAGAGCGCGCGATAACACGAAGAAAATCGTCAGATTTTTTTACAATGCACAACTACGAAAATGATTTGCAGTTCATAGATTAGTTATACACATACACAGTTCGAACACATTTTAATATATGTCCTCTTTGCTGATACTATAGGGATGTATTTTTAACTGAATCACAAAATTAGAAGTAATATTGAAAATATAATCGAAGCAAAGATATGCAAGTATATAACTATATTCAGTATATTAATAGTATAGTGGATACAATTTAATTTTTTGCCATAAAAGCACCTAAAGTAATCGAGTTCCAATCACGCAGCGATTATAATTCTTTTACTTTTCACAAAAATGTGAAGTTATTTCTTCTGTTTATCGATAAAGTAAAGAAACATTAGCGTTGTTCGAAACCAATCTGTGAGTTTTTGAGTTTTTTACCACTGCAGTGCCGGTGCCGTGCGTCATTTTTTTTAAGGAATTTTATGACCTGGTAACTAAGACCTTTAGTTCATGTCTTATTTTAATTTATATTCTTAATTTTATGAAAAATGATAATATGGAGTGAAATGAAATTAAGATGATTAATTTGCGACATTAATCAACTGGGATGAAATATAATCTCAGTAAAATGGTGGTCATTTACTGAGAATTTTTCAGTCGACTTTTTGGAGGAATCCCGAAAAGTTACGTCCAGCGGCTTTGTTTCATTTTCCCACATTTGTGCACTTTCACAGATATTAAACAGTTAGTAAACCACTTATTACACATTTAAACCTGAATAAAAACTAAATAGACAAAATAAAACAAATCACACAACTTAAATCCTCGCGTTCCCACCAAAAAGTCCCACGGCACTGTTAAATCGCGACCAGTGTTGCCGTTGTAAAAAAACTAAAACCCACAGTTTGGTTTCGAACAAGCGTAATGCAGACGCCGTCTGCTGTCCACGTGCGGCTGGTGTCGTGATGTGGATGGCTAGCGACAGAGCGGACACCGACGACAGGGTAGTCAGGAGGCGTGGCGCGTGGCGCGGCGCGGCGCCAGCAGGTAGGACGCGTCGAGCGCGGGGCGGGGGGCGCCGCGGCGCAGCAGCCGCCGCGCGATGCCGTTGACGCGCTCCTTCTGCGCCGCCACGCGACCCGCACCCGCCGCCGCCCTGGCGCCGCCGCTCGGGGCCGCCTGCTACAACACGAACGTTTCAGTTGTTGTTAAATATTCATGGAACAACATCTATGAACTTCTTTTCATTTTTTTTAAATTTTATCATATAATGTGTCACTAGGATAACTATATCTTAGAAACAACGAAAATTAACTCTAACGAACAATTTAAGTAATGAAAGTGTTTACACTTTAATTAACAAATGTATGCTTTTATAAATGAAATATAATTATATTATTTCTTATGCTTTAAATTAATGTTTTTATAAATACGACAGCAGCACTCGGCAAACCAATTATGTTACAATAAAAGTGCATAAAATCTCAATTAGTATCATGAACATAAGTCAGAATGACAAAATAAAATAAAAATGTACAAACCTTAGTGTTTTCAGTATAGGTAATAGCTGGTAATTTCTTCTTAACTTCCTTACTAGGAATATTTTTATTTGATTTTTCTGTAGACACAATCGCAGACTTTGAACCCCTTCCTTTGAGATACTCCGGTGATACTTCGTGGGGCTAAACACATTAATTTTTATTATTACTATAAATGAAACAACAATAAAAAGAGTATACGTATTTTGCTGAGCTGAGAATTAGATATGGAATTTTTATGGGTTTTGAGTCATAGAATTCGATATCCGATTTTTAATTTACCGGCATGTAATAAACGGAGGCAGTTTTTAGTTTGAGACGTATGTTTTTTCTTGGACCATATAGCTTATCATATATTTCTCAATGAAATATTAAACACATGGAATGTAGTTTACCAGTTACATTCATGATGATTTCGTAAATTACTTAATCTATATATGACAAATTGTACTTAATTACTAGGTAAACATATGACTATCACGACGAAAATTGAATGTTTAAATCAACTTTCAGATTTCCCGCAAAACGATAGCCTGGCGTTAATGACGTCATCCTAGTTTCACTAGAACTTTTTGTAACTTTATCTTGATAATATGAAAATATTCTTAGTACAGATTACCACCTACTTTTCTGCACACACTATCAATTTATTTTGGGTAGGTAAACCGCAGTTGTGTACGGCGACATTAGTACTCACAGCGTAAGTCCTAGAGATCTTGAGTCGCTGCGGGAAGTGCGCGAAGGCGTAGGGTCTCGTGCAGAGCGGGTACTTGGGCCGCGACTTGGCGAACAGCCGCGCCGACCGGTCCACGCGCAGCTCGCAGATGTACACGTGCGACTCCGACGCGCCCACCGGACGACCCTGAAAACGTTGTTATTACAGGTGGTAGGATCTCTTGTGAGTCCGCGCGGGTAGACCACCCCGCCTATTTCTGCCGTGTAGCAGTAATGCGTTTCGGTTTGAAGGGTAGGGCAGCCGTTGTAACTATAGTTGAGACCTTAGAACTTATATCTCAAGGTGGGTGGCGCATTTACGTTGTAGATGTCTATGGGCTCCAGTAACCACTTAACACCAGGTGGGCTGTGAGTTCGTCCACCCATCTAAGCAATAAAAAAAAAGTCGCTTTGGAGTACACGGGACAGTCATATTGCAAACCTTCTTGTTTAGCGATCACTCACTGTAAATCCTTAGAAGTGGGACACCACGAGACGTCGTCGAATGCCTGTTTAATATATTACTTTTGTGGACAGACACGCGGCCACCCGAGAGCGATATGAAGTAGTTTTTTTGAATAAATTCTTTGTCCTCACCTTACAAAAAGTGTTGAGATCCATAACCCAGCACTGCGACATGACGAGCTCTATCGGCACCGCCTCGTACAAAGGAACGCGCATAACTTCGTTGTGGAAGAACCTGATGAAATTTATATTCCAATTATAATTTCGTTTATAATCACAAAGTCAAGTAATTGATTTTGGTACTAATTAAGAATACTTTTGTACCATTATTTTGACGTAATCAACTCTGATAATAAAATTTGCTAACACAATGGCATTGTACTTTATTCCACTCAGAAACTTAGCGAAGACATCACTGTATGATGGTGATGATGTTCTTAGCACCCATAAGCGAATAGAAGGCCTACTGTTCTAATTTTTACAAAACTTCATTTTACATATCGACGCTTGAAAAGGAAACGTGACTAAGCGACAATGCGTGAACTTTACAGTAGACTAATTTAAAGTTGAAATACCTGAAAAAAAATATATTTTAACATATCTAGCTGTAGGATTGAAATGATTTTAATAGACCTAGAAATATATTTTTTTTGCGCATCGAATATGGTTATTGCCTATCATTTATGTATAAAGCAGTTATTGTCGCTTAGTCACGTTTGCCTTTCAAGCGTCGATATTCATTTACTTATAGCTCTAGTAAACGCAAGATACTAACTTCCTGGTGGGTTCGTGGAAGGTCTCGTGCGGTCGCAGGTAGTGGTGTCCGTAGACATACCGCTCTCGCGTATGCTTGTGCTTCCACAGCCTCTCCACTCTGAAGATGTCCAGCTCCGAGACCGGCACGGCTCCTATCGTCTGGTATGTGTGTTTGCGAACTTCGGACTCCTACAATCATTAAAAAGCTTAAGATTAATCACCTGTCTCATGCCTCAAGGTAAGAGTTAATGTAAAAAAAAAACTTAGATAGAAGAACAGTAGCTTTAATTGGTAATGCACATACTAATACCAGGTTTAATGCAAGTTAACTGTTACCATGTCAGAGCCTTCAAGCTTTCTATGAAATCTTAATTTCAAAAACATTCAATAAATACAACATATATAGTCCATTACATAAGACTTTAAATTTGTCATCATTACTTCTTTAGTGATTTACCGCTCACTAAAAGAAATGTTACATAAGTCCTATCCGGAATGTATTATTATTTATTTACCATATACAACAGCAACATATACGTATAGCAACATGGCATAACCGTTTCTATGGGACTCGTAGTTTACAGACTTGGGTCTATCATATTAGGAAATAGGATTAGCTAGTAAAAGAGAAATGTTTTACTACTCCTTCTGAATAACAAATTTAATGTGCATGTAACCGCAGGGCATTTTTTAGTTATAAAGCAATACTAATGTATCATTTTGAAAATTATAAGAAGACACACCTTATCCTGTGCTGATTCATCATGTTTCTCCTTTCCTTTAACAGGGTGTTTGAGTTTTTTTCTGTCAACTCTCTTAGTTTTAGGAGACTCGTTCTTATCTAGTCCGTTCTTCTGGCTGACGTCAGGATGTTTATCATCGATCGGAATATCTCGCAGTACGTAGACAGTGTCACCTTGCCTGACCTGGAGGTCACCCCTCATCAGAGTTAAGTAGAATTGGTGTCCATCTTCAGTGTATTCGTCGAGAGGTATTTCACGATCAACCTGGTGATTTGAGAATTAGATAGTGTTCTTATTGTATCTCAGACTACGAGGAGGGTCCAAATATGAACGGCAGTTTTTGTACCACTATTATTTTTTATTGTTTCCTTATAAGAGTTGTCTGATTTATAAAGAGTAACAATCCAAAAGTTTTCGTGTATTTATTATATTTTTAAAACTCAGCAAAAAAAAAAAAAACGTATTTGAAAAAAAGATACCAACTAAACGTTGATCATTGATAACAAAATACATTATAAGTTTTTGAAACTTGGTGTGTGTAAGGAAAAACTGCTTTACTAAACGGAATGCAATCGATACTGTACAGACAGACAAAAATTACCTCTACAGCAGTACAGATTTAACGAAAATGACTTTTTGCTAAAAAATAATTGGAAAGCTTGGCTGTATGGACTGTGTATCCTTTGCCGGTTCAAACGGATGAATCGACAAAAAAATTTTTAGCAGAACATGGAAACAGTTGTAAAGCACCGTGAAATCTTATTCATTATATTTTAGTACTTTCTCTGCATAACATTACATAAAATGCTAACAAAATCATTTAACACCACAAAACACTAAAATATTGAATATAATTTAAGAGCGCCACATGACATTTCTGCGTTCCCGTTAAAAACTCACTACGTGTGAAAGCACAATACCTATGTTTGCAAAGTTCTAAAAATCTGATCATTAAAATTATATTCGACAATTATATTATCTATCAAATAAATAAAACTATATGAAAAAACATGAAACTTTATAGTGGTACAATTGCCCCATAAAAATATTAGTCTACTTTATCTTTATATTTATAATACGAGTACAAACCCAATTGAAAGGTGGCATATTTTTTAATGTGCTTTTTTTAAATCGAGATAATAATCCATATCGACGAGGCCACACGCCGTGAAGTTACCTTGTTCGGTTTGCAGAGATGGCAGTAGTGTTGCTGCGCGGTGTCGGTGACCCGCATGCAGCGCGCGTGCTGCCACACGCCGCAGCGCGCCGCGCCGCACTGCACCATGAGCCCCTCCTCCACGTGCAGACCGCAGATGCACATTATCACCTCCTCTGTCATTAACAATATTGATTAACACATTATATCCATACAAATTTATTACAGCAAGTGTATACGACTATTTCCTGACATTAAAATTCTAAATCTATATCTATATATATAAAAATGATGGCTAATTTTGGTCTTTAATTATTTGTGGAAGTCCAGAGAAGGTTTAAAGGTAGATAAATATGAAAATGCTCGGAATTAAATAAAAATAACAATTTTGTTTTTCCTTTGATGTGTCCCCCGTCGGACGGATTCCTTTTGTTTGTTTTAAGTTTATTTTATACAAAAGTTGAGGTCTCTTATTTATCGATTGAGGCACTACGAAGTCTGCCGGGTCAACTAGTCATAATATATATTAGAGGTTAGATGGTTTAAAAGATGAATGTACAGCAGAAAATAGGAAATAATAGCTGTAGGTCGCCCAACAAAAATAAATGGAAAAATATCTCCTGATTTGCTTAATATATATTGGAAGCAATAAGTTAATAACGAAATATCAATAACCGAAATAAATACTTAGGGTACCTTTAGAATAAAAACCTTTTAATAATAAGAATAAACAATAAAAACTATTTTTATCGGTCTTTCTGTACGTTTGTTTCAATTAATCTCCAAACCCACGATATTGGGAATGTGATCAGATTCAAATAGGAAAATGTTATAAATTTCAGACACAGTCAGAAGAAATCCTGACCATGTTCAACTAGTTACTTTCAAAGTTACTTCGTGCACAATTAAACTACAGAGATTAACATCCATCACTATAATATTATCAGCATGGCTAAAACACTTCTTTGTTCTAACTTATTTACGATTAAATAAATTAACTGTACCTGTCTTCGTTTTCTGTAAGAATCCAGGCGGCAGAGGTTCGTCAGGACCGAGAATTTTAGACAAATGCTCCGAGATATCCATTTTGGCAGTATTGTATACCTGAAGGCAGATTAATTGATTCGTAGTTAAAATTCAATGGATTTTAAAGTATTCCAAAAATATTTTAGAAATACCAACTATTTTATTTCAATCGAAAAATTGTATTTGCAATCCACTTAAAATATACTTACGATCGTAAATAATGTCGTAAATAATAAACATTCACTATTTATTAAAAGTTCGTTTTAATTGGGCTTTTCATTGGAATTGTTGCAAAAAATGACTGGTTTATCCAACACATTATGTACTTCCATTATTAATGTATGCTATTTATAAACTTGTGTATATTATTAAATGATAAGAATTTAAATTTAAGTCTTAATCTGATTCATTATTTTTCTTTTCTCAGTAGTCATCTAGTAGAAGTTAAGTTCGCCTTTGCACGTGCCGTTAAAATATTTATAATATCTATTCACGACACTTTTTTATACAAAATGTTTGTATTATTTATTAAATCGTTTTTACTTACTTTTTTCAGTTGTAGAGCTATATTGCCCAGGTTAGAATTTCGTCCGTGCTCCCGCATCACCGCTGATAAAGCTGCGTTCACATCGGCCTCAAATTGAACCACCGTTTCGTATCGTCCGCTCTCGATGTTCTGCTCTACGGTGGCCAGATCGGGACCGTTGTGAGAATCCTGAGCTTTGCGATCCGACTTCGATTTAAGTAGAGGTGCGCACAGCAACTTGTCCTTCTCGTCTGTGAAAGCCGATCATTAAAATTTCTTGGCATTATTATTTTTAGTGCTTACCGCAACTATTAAACGTCACAACGTGAACATCAAATGATGACGAGCTCTAAATATTTTTTATTGCTTAAATGTGTGGACGAGCTCACAGCCCACCTGGTGTTAAGTGGTTACTGGAGCCCATAGACATCTACAACGTAAATGCGCCACCCACCTTGAGATATAAGATCTAAGGTCTCAAGTATAGTTACAACGGCTGCCCCACCCTTCAAACCGAAACGCATTACTGCTTTACGGCAAAAATAGACAGGGTGGTGGTACCTACCCGCGCGGACTCACAAGAGGTCCTACCACTATTAAAAATAAGAAAAACAAGTAAAAGTAAAAATACCAGGTTATCAACATCTGGGCCATTTCTGCCGAAACACAGTCATCAACTTGAATAATGGGACGGACAGATTACATTACATTCGAATTAAAAACTATTTTTAATCAAAATAAACTGGAGCCTATGAATAATACACAGTGAAATCCTCTTTATAGTGGCTCTTTAATTGTTCCTACAAACAATCAAAGAAGTTTTATATTTTTTTCTCACACTAATAAACTGTTTTTTTTTTATTAAAAAAGTTCTGACTTATCAACTTGAACTCACCTTTAGCACTAACGATGGCTCTGTAAAGGGCTTTAAAGACACTCGTTAGTCGCTCGCGGCGCGACAGTGCCGGGTCATCTTCTATCCGGATGAGTCGCTTCACGGTATCGTCTTTGGAAGCTCGCAGCATTTGTAATCGAGATATGAAGACCTCCGGGTTCATAGTGTCTGGGAGGAGCAGCGGATCCACCATGACTACGTCCTGCGTGTTCGACGGTGTCGCCGGCGGAGGGGGCGGGGAGGGGGGCGACGCCGGCAATGAGAGAGACATACGATCGCGCATGCGTTTTACCTGCGAACAGAATTATTATTAATCAATCAAACGGCAATTATCAATACTCTAAGAAGATTTTTGTCGGATTATTTAACTTTTTTTTTATTAACAAAAAATATTTACCAAAAATCCAATCACTAGATCATTTTTTGTAAGTTTTTCGAGGCACATCATACGACAGATTACGATTTTTTTTAAACTAACATTAAAACATGTTTTAGTTGTTAATGTTTTATTTTATTGCACATTCTGAAGAGTTTCACAATAACTGCCCATAAACTTTATTCAATTGTGTTTTGTCTGATTACGTTCACTGGTTAGCCTTACAATAAATTTGACAGTTTGCATGCGCTTTTCAATGATATGATTTAGAGGCAAACGCTTAATATTTGTCTGTTGTTATGTGAACTTTAAAGGGTACGATATATCAGGCACTAGGCCTAGAGTAGATCATTAAAGTTTACTTACAGTTTCCAAGTTTCTAAATAGGAAACAGTGTCGCTCCTTGACCAGATTCCTCTCTTTCGCCGTGAGAGGTTTCATTTGTGGTTCCTGCCACAGTTTGTTCAAGTGCTGTTGGTACTTCAGTATGGTCATGTTCTTGATGTCGCATGTACTAACAGCCTGCTGTTCAGACTTCTTGTTGCATTTGACCGCTTTCCTCGGTCGACCTACCCGTGGTTGGTTTCCGTTGGAGCCTAGCGATTGGTTGGACGCGTTTGACGGCGTCCGTGATTGGGTCTTCAGTGGCTGTTTGGTGATGCGCTGCGATTTTCCACCAATCACACCGCGACAATCTTCCGAATCACATTTACAAGGCTGAAAACGTTTTTTTAAACTTGTACTCTGACTTCCAATTAATGTGAATTACGTTTAATATATGAAATGACGAACAATATCTAATCTACAAATCAATAACAAAATATCGAACAATGCCAGAAACCAAAGAACCTTCAACTGGCAACAGTTGTACAATTTTTTTAATTATCTATATCACAGGAAAGCCTTATATTTCATCCCATATCATCTCATCTCATTTCATTTTATTTCACCCCAGTTGACTAATGTCTCAAATTAATTATCTTTATTTCATTTCACACCATTATAATTTTTCATAAAAATAAGAATATAAATTAAAATAAGACATGACCTAAAGGTCTTAGTTACCAGGTCATAAAATCAATTAAAAAAAATAGTTACAGGGCTTCCAATGCGTGAATTTTTTAATACAACTCAACACAATAAAAGACTCGTAGTGTAACAACGAACAAAAAATTGTTCGACGGTATTTTCTTGAATGTTATTATGAAGGGTATTCATACCTGACCGACTGCCGGATTGAACAGCGAGAAGTTGTAATCATAAGTCAATTCCTCGCCCGACTCGATGTCCCGCAGAGCAAACAGGGCCATACGAAACGTGCCTGCAATCAAATCATTCGTTATAACAACACATTTACGAACGTCTCCAAAATTTTTAACACTAAAAATATCATAACGGGTCAAATGAACCATTTTGAACTTTTTCATTGAAAATGCACGTGTCATCTTAATGCTTTTGCACATTTGACTTCATGCCTTTTTCTTACCAATTAATCTACAGTTATTATACTTTTTTTTTGTTTAGTTTTGTTTATTTTGCGTAAGTTATCTTCCTGCTATGGTAGAAATAGGTACCAGTGAGTGTTTGTATGATTAGTGTTAAAGTAGGAAATCCGCAATCACCATTAGAAGTCCACTTCTGCATTTCACAGTTGGGTCGGCAGGAGTGGTTGACGAACCTGCCGTCGCCGCCCATGCGGTGGCCGTCGATGACGAGCCCGCCGTCCAGGTGCAGGCAGTAGTGGTGCGTGTCGCGCGCGTACCGCGTCGCCATGCGCTCCTGGACATTACCACACAGTCACCATTCAGCGCTGCCAATAGTACATTGTGCACCAAGGGAGAAAAGTAGGACATTTCCTCCCGCGTGTAAAATTGCCACCCGAGCCGAAGGCTATATACTATATAGGCTATATACTCATAAAAAAACAATTTAACTGTTTTTTAATTCTTAAATAAACTACTACTAATTGAATAAGAACTGTCTGATGAACTCATCTTTGTTTAATACTTCACTATTAAATTTTATTGCCTTTTGTTTATTTCACCTTTACACTAAACACAATATTGCAAATTATCCGAGCACAACAATGGCGGAGAATTTTAGCTGTGTGAGAGCAGACGTAGACACTAACGCGCATGTGCACTTGTCAGTACCCAGGGAGGAAAAGTTACACTTTCTTCCCTGTACAGCGGGACGAAAACCGAACTTTCGGCGCAGGTAGGAAAAAAATATATTTGTTGCTTTGCAAACGGTACCGCTTATATTTCCAAACTCACCTTAAACTCTTTATCGGAGACGACCTCGCCGACGTATTCTAGTATGAAGTCGCCCGATGTGATCTTATGCTTGGTGCGCACGCCCCAACCTTTGTTCTCGGTCATGAATTTCTCCAAGCCGGACGCCCACTCGTGACGTTGTATCCTTTGATTCTTACATTTATCTCTGCAGATTTCAAACATAATGGTATAAACATAATGACAATAATTAACAAAGATATTGATGACTATAAAAAAAACAGGAATCATTCTCATTACTGATGAGAGAACAACCCTTATACTGCTAAGAATGAATAATGAATGAATGCTTCCTCGTGGTAGGACCTCTTGTGAGTCCGCGCGGGTAGGTACCACCACCTCGCCTATTTCTGCCGCGAAGCAGTAATGCGTTTCGGTCTGAAGGGTGGGGCAGCCGTTGTAACTATACCGAGACCTTAGAACTCATATCTCAAGGTGGGTGGCGCATTTACGTTGTAGATGTCTATGGGCTCCAGTAACCACTTAACACCAGGTGGGCTGTGAGCTCGTCCACCCATCTAAGCAATTTTTTTTTTTATCAGAAATTCTAAATGAAAACATTACATTTTTTATGATATTAAGGCGAGTATCAAAACGAAATAATATAGAAAGCGTCAACTCACACACAAGGGCACAACTGAGGAGAACATTCGGAATAAACAAGTCTGTTGATACAGTCCTCGTTGCAGCCGGACTGCGGGGCGCAGTTGCACGCCACGCTCTCGCACTCCTCGGCCGACGGCTTCACGTCGTAGTACACGTCTGGCCGAGGATAATGCAATTTGTTTAATTAAATGTATGTACACAGTTTATAAGGACCACAGAGATAGGAAAACTATTCAAATTTTATATAAAAAGTATGTAAGTATGTATGTAATGAGCTTTGGCAAGAATAATGGCAGGAAGGTTGGCAGATATGAAACATTGATATTACTTTGTACAGATATAAATAGATGCGTAAAAGGATAGTATACGACATTTGTGGCATAATGAAAAATAAAATATTGATATTAACACGTTCGCGTGAGCAACCTCATTTCTGAATATTGCTACTGTTGCACACCTTTTTCTCATACAAAGTTTAGGAACGTCTAAAAACGCCCCGCCGTAATACGTACATCTTATGACAATTTTTTTTAGGGATCGCGGCGGTGCACACTATGAAAATCGAATGTGTTGCGGCGCTAAGTAGATGCGCTATAGGAATTTGTCCATAAAATAGACGCCCAAAGAAGTTCCCACAAAATAAATATGATAATGTAGAGGCCGTCATATAACGTTCCGCCATTTCATAATTTTAAAAACACGACATTGTAAGACGTTCCTCACGCGAACATCTTCAGAAACAGACGTTTGTGTATGGCAACCCGTCACCACGCCAGCATTAGATTTTACATGCGGTTATATATTTGTTTCTAATCAAAAGTAATGTCCTCACTTGTCCGAATCTTTTTGTAGTTCCATGAGGGCACCGGCTGGTTGTAATGTTGCTGCCACCAGATGTCGTAGGGCAGCATGAAGTGTTGCTGCCTGCGCCGCACCCAGCGCTCGCAGTACGGCGGCGGAGCCAGCAACCCTGGCGGGTAATCTGTGTGCGTCACCGAATTCTTGGCTTTGCCTTCAGGTTTTGAACTGAAAAGTGATAATTAAATTAATTATGTACCCAGAATTTTTTGGAGCACAAATATCTTTACATCGACGCTTGAAAGGCAAACGTGACTAAGCGACAATGCGTGAACTTTACAGTAGACTAATTTAAAGTTGAAAAACCTGAAAAAAATTCTATTTTATCGAATTTAGCTGTAGGATTGAAATGATTTTAATAGGCCTAGAAATATTTTTTTTTTGCGCATCGAATATGGTTATTGCCTATCATTTATGTACAAAGCAGTTATTGTCGCTTAGTCACGTTAGTCACAAGCGTCGATATCCAAGTTTGATACTTACTCTTCCTTATAATAATCGGAGAACAGTCCCGCTGCTAGGAACTTCTTTCTGAGCCGCGGGTTTCTCTTTGACACTATTGGCTTATCCCTGTTTTCAACGCTACTAGCCGGACTGTCATCGCGAGATGAGGCCACGCGTTTTTTGCAAATAATACTTTTCGAGAGAACATCAATGCTCTTTTCAAAATCGATCTCCTTTTCATTTAGCGGTAGCGGATCGTTCTCGTCGTGGTCTCGGAGCGTGTCCATGGACGGTTCCCGCGACTTGTACCTGCGGCTGCCTATAGTGTCGAGGGAACTCTCTCTTGAACTGGACTGCGCGTCGACCCTTTTGCTCATTTGACAGGACCTCGATTTCCTTCTAGTGCAGATCCCGACGGGCGTCACCGCCTTCGCTATTTCAACGACCATTTTATTATTTTCTACTCGCCTCGTCTTACATTTGACATCTTCGTTTGAGTTATCTGTGCTTCTCGTGAGCCTCCTTTCACTTGGACACAAAACTGCCAAACTCGACTTCGGCCTCAGAGCAATTTTAGATGTTTTCTCTACAACTTTTCTTTTAGAGAATATCTCCTCAATCTCGTGTGATGGCGACATGGCTCTGGTCTTGCGTTTTAGTCTTTCTAAGTTATCCAACCGGCATGTAGATCGACCAGATTTTAAGTTTAATAGACTCAAGGGTATGCTGTCCTCAGGATCGTTGCTTAGAGAACTGGCCAGAGACCTAATACTGTCAGTTTCGCTCAAAACCTCCCACTTGTTGATGTGATTTTTTATTTCTTTTTCATTTTTGTTTTGCTTCAATTGAAGAGCTGGCGCCCTCAAAATAGAGGAGTTTGCGTTTTTCTTCTCGTGAGGCACAGGCTCAGGTTTGTTGGTCTTATTATTATTATCTCTCGTCAGTTCCTTACCCTGTAATTTCTCAAGCGCGACAACGGTGAGGCGGCCTTGTTTGGGACAATCTTCTTTATTCAAAACAACCTTTAGCTCTGGTTTTTTAGATGAGGTCCTTTCCAAGAAACTACTCATCGCTTCACCGTCTTTAGGTACTCTTTCAAAAGCAGAATTATTATCCGTGTCAGATGTGAATTGACTATCGGAAACGACGCTTACATTTGTCGACGGATCAATTTTCTTCTTTTTCTTCTTAATATTTGGGAAACCAGTCCTGTTAATTGCTTTTCGCCGTCTCGTTTTCTTTTTAGATGCTTCTACTGCGGTTTTGTTATCACTGCTTTCGTTAACTTCAGCAACTTTTGAAATTTCCGCAACATTCTTAGCCGTTTCTAGAATCGGTAATCGTTCAGCTTGGATTTTGGGAACCAGTAACTTTGTCGGTAAGACTAATTTGCTTTCCCTCAAAATATTATTAGTTTTCTTTTTCTTCTTATTTTCATTATCTTCATTATCTACACTCAGGTTTCGTTTAGAGTGCCTTAGATTGTGTCCACCAGCGGTTTCCTGAATCTTATCTGAGAGGACTGCCGCTATCGACTCGCCTCGTTTAGGTCTTATGATTGGATCTGGGTTTTCTGAAATCAAAGCCAATCGTATATCAGCTTCGGCATCGATGGGTATTGACACCGTACTCGTTATTTTGGCTTCGTCGTTTTTTACATTTAGTTTATTTTTATTGGCGTCTTCTAAGATACTGGTCACGCAAATTGAGGATTTAGGTATCTGATCCTCTATATCTATAGACGGTTCAAATATGCCAGTCGGTTTATCTTCATTGACTACAACGCAATGTTCTATAATTTCTGTAGTCTTCGATTTTTTCGTTTCCAATATCTTGCCTTNCGTTATTTTGGCTTCGTCGTTTTTTACATTTAGTTTATTTTTATTGGCGTCTTCTAAGATACTGGTCACGCAAATTGAGGATTTAGGTATCTGATCCTCTATATCTATAGACGGTTCAAATATGCCAGTCGGTTTATCTTCATTGACTACAACGCAATGTTCTATAATTTCTGTAGTCTTCGATTTTTTCGTTTCCAATATCTTGCCTTTGGAAACCGGTGACTTAATGACCGTTGCTCTGGTGCTGCACTGGGTTACATCTTTAGATTTCAATTTTTCTTCACTTCCTTTATTTACGCTGTCGCCGCAGTTTTTCTCTTTTTCTAATATTCGAGATTCTATTGATTTACGAATGTTGTTGTTTAATAGTGTGTCTAATACTTTTGTTGCTGCACTGGGATTTATTTTTGAAACTAGATTGCTTGTCAATCCTTCGAGTCTGTTCTTTTTCCTTGTCATTATTTCAGATTTTTGCGCTGGTGGTATTGAGCTTTTGTAAAGGGTACGTGCTGACATGCTTTTTAATGGATCTACATTATTCGACATCTGCTTATCGGTCTCCATTTGGACATTTTCTTGTTTTTCTGGTTCTTTAACTTCGTCTTTTGAATTTTCATTTGTTTCCTTATTTTCTTTCACACTTGAAAGTTTATCATCACCCAATTTCTTGGACAACGACTGAACTACTTGATCTAAACAAGATTGTGAAGCTGCCTTGTCTGCTTCGAGTCTATGTCTTTTTTTAGGAGTTACTATAGGCGCGCTGTGCCTCATAGGTGATGACTTTGTTTCCGATCTAGGTGATGACATCTTTTGTTCCATTTTTGACTCCAATTTGCTCTCAACCTCTCTGGTTTTTGGTAGTGTTTTCTCCAAATCGTTAACCATTTTATGCACAGCTTTAAGTTTTTCTGAAGTTTCAACAATCTTTTTTGATAGTTCAGATTGTTCAGTATTTGTTTTCTTTAATGACGGTTCATCGTCTACTGAATTCAGAGTATCTATATTTTGACTTTTAGGAGGAGTAGAGAGAGTGTCATCCATAGTGTTTTCTGCTGAGAAATCTTTGGCTGCTTTAGAAGCATTGTCTGCGGTTTGATTCTTCGATTCCTGCAGTGTTGATATTTGAGAAGAATGCTTTGCATTTTTATTTTTATCATGCTGGTGTTTTGTCTTGGATGTTTCGTCAGAAACATTGGTTGATTCTTCACCCATACAATTCATTTCTGTACATAGAAACTTTTCAGGACTGGTTACATTTTTGGAATTCTCGTCAAATTCCGTTGTCACTAAACTTAAGCTCAACGGATTATTTGTGGAAGAATTAATATGATAGTGTCGCTTTTTAAGTGGAAGCTTATGTTCGTTTGCATCTTTGCTTCCCTTGTTTTGTGAATCTGCGAGTTGTTTTTTGTGTCGTCTTTTTGAAGTCGGCGTGGTCGCTTCTTGGTTGTCTACTGTTTTACGTTTTTTCGAACCACGTTTAACAACTTTACTGGGCGGTTGTTGCTCTGTAGTTTGCTTTTCAACTATTTTAGGTGAATTTTGTGAAACATTAGCAATCAATTGGGGTGCCACTTGACATAATTTTATGAAGTTCGTGGTCAGAGTATCTATATCGTGACTAAATTTTTGATCAATTGAATCTGTACCTTTAGAATATGAATCTCGACATTTAGATACTGATCTAGAGCGATGTCTCCTTTTGCTCCTATGTCTGTGATGTTTGTTTTCTGTTTTTATGGTAATACGAGATGGCCTTTCTGCGGGCTTTAGGTTGATTTTAGGTGGAGCCAAGACAACAGTTCTTCTATGCTTCTTCGTATGGAAACACGGTTTAATTTGAGGCTTTCGAAAATTTAGGAAAACATTTCTAGACAACGATTTATTTGGAACGTAACTATTTTTTGCTTTCTCGAAAATATTAGGCACCGGTTTAATACTGATTTCTTTTTTTGAAGGACTTGTGAGCGAAACATTTCCGTTCTTTACTTGTTTTCGGCTTTTGGGCGATAGAGTGCGGGGAAAACATTTTGTGTCGCTTTCCTTTTTCGCACCTACCAATTTCGTGTGAGCTATTGGTGACGCTCCAAATTTATGCGTAAACGTTGGTTTTAATGAGGGTAATGGTCTTCCTATGTAGCTGGATTTGCTGGGCGATTTCGGCAACGTATTGTTATTGTTATGGTTTGCTTTAAATATATTATAAACTGTCACTGGACGCTGTAGGCCGCTAAAAACGGGGCCCGGAGCGAAAGGGTCGGTAGGATTTAATCGCAACAAAGGCTTTTGATTTGCTTTTGCGTAACTGAAGTCATTGAAGTCCATCGGGTACTTCGTGCAAACACTGACATACTTGGGACTAGCGCTTGGCTTTCGTAAATAATTTTCACATTCGGAGTCGCTGGAGCTGTGCCCCAAAGTCAAACTGTTGAACGTTTTGTTCGTCAGTACCTGAATCTCTTGGTCCGATACGAAGTGTTTTTGATTCTTGTAATAGGACCTATCTCTGACCGAACGCGTTTTCTTCAGTTTCCTCGTGCGCCGACGTATGCTCCGAACACTGTAATCGGTTTTGTAACCGGATTTGTCACTTTTATAGCCGGACTTGTGATCGCTTTTGTAACCCGAACGATAATAATCACTTTTATAACCGGATCTGCAGCCAAAATCACTTTTGTAACCCGACTCTATGAGACGGCTACAGCTTTTGTACGGTTTGAATTCGTGATCGCTTTTGTATCCGGACAGAATATCTTTATATTTTGGATTCAAATCTATTTGCCTCCAGGTCGGGTCGAGCATATCATCGGCGGCCGCTTCGTTTTCACTTTGATTACTCCTCCACGAGTTATTGAAGGGCTTGTTGGTCTTCTTTGGTAAATTACCTAATTTACTATTTAATTCTTTACGTTTCGCGTACACACTGGATAGCACAGATCTGTTCGATGGGATAGTATCTTCGTCGGTTTCGGCGGAATCATATTGGTTCTTATCTTTGAGCGTTTTAGGTGCGTTTTTCACAGTTGCAGACTTAGTTTTACTTTGTGTTTTACGTCCAACTTTCTTTCTAGGCGGGTATAATACTCTGTCGGTAGCATACAACATTCTATCTAAAGCTGCAATGTCTAGCTTATGCTCGTTCCTCCTGCTCTTCTCATATTTATTCTGCTCTTGTTTCAGCGGCACCGGTGATGGTGCTTCGGTTTTGATCTGTTTGATTTCATTTTCGATTCTCTTCTTTTGATATTCACTGTCGCTAGAATCAGATCTGTGTTGTCGGCTTCTGTTCCTTGACTTCGAGCGCATTGTTCTGGTTTCTCTCGAGCTGTTTTCTTTCTGAGTTGACCTTCGACTTAATCTATTATGTGTCTCGTCTACATCGTGCCGCCTTAAGGGAGAATGTGTCGGTGAATTGTGATTAGATAATATCCCCGAATCAGGCGACACATTAGGGGGCTCGTTGTTATTATGATAGTTCATGACGTTCACAACAGACTTGTCTTCGCTCTGAGATTCTGTGCCTTTACTTCTATAATCCTCCGGCTTTTTTACTTTTCTAGGCCTGCCTCGTTTTCGTCTCGATTCGACCATAACATTTTTAATATCTTCCTGAGATTCAATAGAATTTGTGCTTATTGTATCTAATCTGTGAGAATCTATTTGATTAATCGAATTCATATCTGCATTTCCGACAGTCAGAGGGGAGTTTTTGAGTAAATCACTGGCACTCCCGATCTCCGAATTCCCGTGCACGATATCAAGATTCATGAAGTCATTATTATCCTCTACACAATCTTCAATGCTCGGCGGATTAGGTATTGACATCGTAACCGAGTCAGTGACCGAAGACATCTCTTCAAGATCCTTATTTATTTGGTTGAGTTCTTCGTTTTGTTGTGGACTCAAATGTTGCGATGTATTCAAGAAATTCGGAGCGATCGGCGGTATTTCAGGTAGATTATTTATTTGCCCGAGTACGCAATCGCTTATAGCACCGACCCCGTCAATAGGAGTATTGCTAAGGGGCAGCTGCGATAAAGACGAAGAACCAGATGAATTAATAGTCGCTAAGGGAACTGTACTACTCAAAAGCTGCGTCTGTGCAACGAACTGTTGCAGCAGACTAGATGCATAATGGGTCGTATTTTGATTTCCCGTTTCCGAATTGGAACATTCGTTTTCCGAGCCCGATGAATCGGCCGTTGCTCTTTGAATTGCGGCCGTTACTAGCTGAGGGGTAATTTCCATTTCACTTCCCGATCCGTCACCTGCAACACCGGCAATCCGTTAAAGTCATTCAGAATCTAGAATATTCGAACAGAGCATTTGCGATAAATTACCGTTGTCCGCCATGGACTTGTCATCGTTGTCTCGCGGCGAACTCGAAACGGGAAACGTCGCGAAATTAGGCTGTTGCGCCGGCGCGCTCGATGTTTGTTCTGGAAAAAGCTCCGCAAGATCTGCATCGTCGATGACCTAAAATATAATTTCATACTTACATATAGGATGCTATAAAAATCCAGACATTAAATCGCCAAACCGAATACATATTCGAGGGGTATAAGGCTATTTGGTGTAACCGATATTACGGTTAGCACAAAACATTTATCTTTGTAATTAAAGGTCTGTTTTATTTGGTATTCGTATCAACAAATCGATGTTTTTAATTGAACTTCAATTAAGTTTACCCCATTCAAATAGCTGAAGAAGTTTCTTGCTGTGAATTTTTTTTCCTAAACTTTATATGGCTCTCCTGTAAAGTTGTAAAAATTTCGCCAATAACCTTCCACACCTCAATAGGTTTTAAAATTAAAAAAAAAAAGAGTCTAACAAACTAAACTGTTTTGATTTTAACAGTACCTGCAATTGGCAATCTGCGGCGAGCTCTGCACTGGTATCATTAGGCGGACCATTGACGGCCGCGGCCCCGACTTCAGCGGAGTCCGAATCTGATGAAGAAGAAGACGAAGAGGAAGATGATGATGATGAAGAGGAACTTGAGGATGAAGAACTGCTAACACACGCAGTGCTTTCCACAACCGGAGATGTAAACTGTAACAATAGAATTAAGATAATTTAACTCTAAAGCTTTAAAACGCAAAGATAAAGCTATAACAAAGTTAATACTTTTGACACGAAGTTCAGACTGTGACTCCCAAAAATAACTGAACCGCATTCAGAATAAAGCCATTTAAAAATAGAAGGATATAATTTTAAACATCGATCCGTAACGAAGCGACAGTGGCACAATAATTGACACAAAAACATTAAGATGCCGAGGAGCCATTAGCGGCGACTCCGAGATTGATTATTAGCTACAGCAACTACCGACAGTTATGTCGCAACACCAGAAAACTAAGTCGGCTGACCGCAATACAAGGATATTGCACCAGCCAATATCAAATCGATGCTTTAACGACACTAACAAAGGATGTTTATACAGGACCGAAATAGTATTTTACAAATCAAGTTCCCATCTCTATACGTTACAAATTATGATTTGCGTAATTACTGGCGGTAGGACCTCTTGTGAGTCCGCGCGGGTGGGTACCACCTTGCCTATTTCTGCCGTGAAGCAATAATGCCTTTCGGTTTGAAGGGTGGGGGCAGCCGTTGTAACTATACTCGAGACCTTAGAACTTATATCCCGGGGTGGGTGGCGCATTTACATTATAGATGTCTATGGGCTTCAGTAACCACTTAACCACCAGGTGGGCTGTGAGCTCGTCCATCCATCAAAGCAATAAAAAAAGGTACCTTACTCCAAAAACAACATAACGACCGCTTTGAATTACATTTATTTTGCTTTGTTTTCAATAGTTTAATACTAGTGCATGTGACCTTAGCAACATTTCATACTCTATTTTCAGTTCTAAGACATTTGCAATTATAAATGTTCATCTCACGACTTTATAAAGTACGGAGAAAGCAAAGAATTAACAGTGCTATTTGATCTGACAAATACGGTACCGTACGACCAACGTACGCCTCTCACTATTCATAATGAACTATAGTGATTTCTTCAATCACGTTTATTACAGGCATATTTCGTGAGCAAATAGATATAGATACATTAAGTTGGCACAAGTGTTTTATGTGTTACGTGTCACGATCGATTCTGTACATGTCAGTTTGACTTTATACAATTTTATGACATTCTAAAATACGAAAGCTGTGTGAATTCAAGTGTTTTAAAAACTACAGACAATTTAATGTATAAAAAAAGCATTTAATAATAATTGTAGAGTAAGGAAGCAATGAAGCATAAATTTCTTAATGTAATTAACATGAAAACACGTTAACCGCCATTTATACTACTGAAACAATTAATTTGAAATTAATTTATCGCCTTTCAAGGTTACAATGTTTGATATAGACACTGAAAACTAGACATAAATTAGGCAGACACCCATGCGCGTTCTTGAATTACAAATAGAACTTATAAATAATTTATCTAACGCCACATGTTTGATAATAAAATATCCTGGACGTCGCGATTTCACATTCATTTTAAAGGTACGCAGCAGCTCGGCTCTGGCCCTGGCATTGTTGAAGTCCATGGGCGACGGTAATCACTCACCAACAGGTGGGCAGTACACTCGTCTGCCTACTAGGGCAATAAAAACAAATTAAAAAAACACACATACACATTAACAGCGATGTACAATGTGATTTACTATCTCGAGTTGTTCGAGTGGGATTAAATACGAGCTCACGGCCAATCCGGTGTTAAATGGTTAACAGGATCCATAGACTGCATCATGTAAATACCGCCAACCATTTCTGAGACATTGTCTAGGTTCAATTCAATTGTCTATACGAATGAGTGCTATGACCGGGATTGCGAAGCGATCATGAGTTCGGGTACTACAGTTATTAGACTGCGTCGCGGATGAAAGGCATACCTATTATCGTGGGCTTCCAATACGCCTTTTTTTTATTGCCTTTGTAGGCAGACGAGCATACGGCCCACCTGATGGTGAGTGGTTACCGTCGCCCATGGACTTCAGCAATGCCAGGGGCAGAGCCAAGCCGCTGCGTACCACTTAATACTCTCGTCTTACCACCAATAATATTAACCAAATTTTATTTTTGCCATGTTTGATTTTTATTCCATGTCTTGGTAGTCATATGTGAACATGGACTAGGATTCCAACACGAGCCTTTTCGCATCGGTCGATACGATTACACCAGACGTATTAATGTTTAGGCCACATGACTTCAAATAATTCATTACAATATGACCTATTAATTCATGGTTACCCGGGACTTAAGAGTTCCAAACGTAACAGTTGTACTAAGTTGCCTATTCGAGAATAGACACGTACGGATAAGCCGCCATTTTTTAAAGAAGTATTGAGGTTCCTTGAACTGACATGAACGTCGGACGCATTTAAGCTGTTTTCTTGTATATCATGGCTTGTTAATCGTAAACATTTCTCGACTTAGGCGTAAAAAAAATCAAAAACTCAATTTTCAGGTATAAAATCTTATTAATGATATTTCTTTTTCGTTACAACAAACCAGTATCGTAATTAATAAAGAACACGTAGTGAATAACTAGTGACGGGTGTGTTGTTTTCACTAAGTTGATTGTTCCAAGGGTGCTAATCAATAGGCGGAAGGGCGAGCAACCCTTATACAAGGGGTTGAAGCAAGTGTCGCGTGGTCGCCAGTCTTATCACAGCTAGCATATCAAATACAGCGGAAGCCGCCGACCCCAGGTAACCATAAGCTATAACGCTTGGATACTACGCATTTATTATTTAATATAAAACTAATTACCTATATAAGCTTTTTATTCTCTTGGTTGAGTGACTCAATTTTATTTACGTACGTAGCTGTTTTTGAATTGAGTTTTTCACGAGTTATCGAAACTTTATAAACTTACTAGCGACCCGCCCTCGCTTCGCTTCGGAAACTGTAATTTCTTATTGATTTCTCCACTATTTAATGGATGTTATTATACATATAAACCTTCCTCTTCAATCACTCTATCTATTAAAAAAAACCGCATCAAAATCCGTTGCGTAGTTTTAAAGATTTAAGCATACATAGGGATATAGGGAAAGAGAAAGCGACTTTGTTTTATACTATGTAGTGATTATAAGACTTCGGAAGAAAGTTATTCATTTGATAAATAATTCGGGAAGTTTTACTTTTTAAAGCTCCGATAATGCCTCATAGAGTTACGATAACTCACTACGAATAAGACCGACAGACATTTTCTTTATAGCTTTTTTTTAATAATAAATTACATTTTATCCTGCGACTCCACTTGTTGCTCAACAATTGATTAAGTTTTCAAGCATTACGTTCGTTACGTTCGAAATAAAATATCACTACATAGTATAAAAAACAGAGTCGCTTTCTCTGTCCCTATGTATGTTTAAATCTTTAAAACTACGCAACGGATTTTGGTGCGGTTTTTTTAAATAGATCGAGTGATTGAAGAGGAAGGTTTATATGTAGGTATAATAACATCCATTAAATAGTGGAGAAATAAATAATAAATTACAGTTTCCGAACCGAAGCGAGGGCGGGTCGGTAGTATCGTATAATACGCGAAGTGATGTACTAACATTACGACAACAAACAAACAACAAAAATATAATATAAGTTACGACTTCGTACTAATCCCAATAAAATACCAGGTACAGATCTCGGGTATGTAAGTACACGAATAAATAACACAATGCTTGTACCGACAAATATGAAAGCTCCGAGCATTCGGATCGACAATGGGATAACAGTACATATCTGAGACACGGCGCCGACACGAATATCATATTAACGACCTCGTGATCTACGTAGATTTATATCTGACGACTAACGCTAAACAAACATAAAACTTTACCGAACAATATCTATTGCGACTATTACATTTTATTGACTTACCACGCGAGATAAGTACAGGACAAATTCTGAAAACATATCTCTATCTTTTATTTATTTATTGCTTAGACGTGTGGACGAGCTCACAGCCCACCTGGTGCTAAGTGGTTACTGGAGTCCATAGACATCTACGACGTAAATGCGCCACCCACCTTGAGATATAAGTTCTAAGGTCTCAGTATAGTTACAACGGCTGCCCCACTCTTCAAACCGAAACGCATTATACTGCTTTATGGCAGAAATAGGCGGGGTGGTGGTACCTACCCGTGCGGACTCACAAGAGGTCCTACCACTAGTAATAACGCAAATTATAATTTTGCGGGTTTGATTTTTCTACACGATGTTATTCCTTTACCGTGGAAGTCAATCGTGAACATTTGTCAAGTACGTATTCCATTAGAAAAATTGGTACCCGCCTGCCAGATTCGAACACCGGTGCATCGCTAGATACGAATGCTACGGAAGTCTTATCCTTTAGGCCATGACGACTTCAAAATATCTATCTATATACAAGTGGTAAAGTGTTTGGCATCTTTTAAAATCCGTACACGTCGTTAATACGTGCTTATTATCGACAAGTTCGTGTGAAAAGTAAAGAGATTGCTCTCACCGAAAAGATGTAAACAGTTTTTTTTTATCGGATTGATTTTTTTAATAGTCCCATTCCTCTCCATTAAACTGTTTGAAATGCTTGGCGGCGTAACGGTATTCATTATTATTGACTCGCACTAATTCAATACTGACCGAGCACAATGTAATTGAAGTATCAATTATTGTGATTACAATCTTATAACAAGATCGATAGATCGAGACATTTTATTAACGTTTCACTTTTACGACGATCATACTCAGTAACTAATAAAGTTTCATTATTAGTTATTTGTAAAACAACACTATAGATATATTATTCTTGAAATTATTCATTTAAATATATAAAAATGAATTGCTGTTCGTTAGTCTCGCTAAAACTCGAGAACGGCTGGACCGATTTGGCTAATTTTGATCTTGGATTATTTGTGGAAGTCCAGAAAAGGTTTAAAAGGTAGATAAATATGAAAATGCTCGGAATTAAATAAAAATAACAATTTTGTTTTTCCTTTGATGTGTCCCTCGTCGGACGGATCCTTTTGTTTGTTTTAAGTTTATTTTATACAAAA